GCCAGCTCAAAGACCGCACCCCGAAAGCTTTGAAGGAGGAGCTCGCCGGGCTCGCGCCGCACAGCGGCCCGCCCGCAATCCAGGACTGGATCGATTCGCGCTTCAAGAAGGACGACCTCAAGCAAGCCATGGGCCAGCTGGTCCGGGATGTGTGCCATAACTGCTTGTGCTCAGGCAAAGGCGTCCAGGAGCACACGTTTCGGGTCTGCCGGGACCTCGGTAACAAATGCGTTCTCCCCTGCAGCCGGTGCGTCCAGGCAAGGAGGATCCACGATATTTCTCATTGGGTCCAGAACTGTAAATATGGCGGCATTCAGGCGTTGGTTTTGCCGATCTGCACATCCGTTCATACATAATCCGGAAGCCCATCTATGTTGCGTGTTTGTACGTATGGATGCATGTATTGATGCGTATATGTATGTGTGTATATATCTATGTGTGTGTGTGTGTTTGTTGCGTGTGTGGGTTTCTGGATAATATTTTCCTTTGGCCGATAAGGAGATTGGGTGTTCGTCGCCAGTCCCTGTTGGGGGCGTCGTGGGCGACTCGAAACGCGTTTCCCCTTCTCGCCCTCGGGCTGTCGCCCGCCCGTTGTCTGTGAATCCTGCTCCGCGTGACGCCCGAAGTGGTAACTAAGTCTCCTCGCTGCCGTGTCTGCGGGCACCCACGTTATCGGCTGCAAGGAAAAAAAACGCGACGCCCTTGCTCGCGGTCGTTCTCGGGACCCCGAACAGCGGGTCGTTCTGCCCTGAGGTGCCACACCCTTTGGGGAATGTCTGTCTGGGTGGCTTTCGTCGCTGGCACTCCTTCGCTCCTGGGGGGGACCTGCGCGTGCGTGCCCGTCGCCATTTCGGCTCCAATATGTCGTGGCGCCCCGGGACATCTTCGACGATCCAGGCCCTCCCCTCGCGCCCGAGACCGGGGCCGGCATGCCTTCGTCGCGATGCCTTCGTTCCACTGGCTGGGCGTGCTCCTCGCGGGCCGGCTGCCGGGCCCGCTCTGGGCGCGAGGCTCCTGGGCGCCATCCGCTACGGCCCGCGGCCCGAGGTAGGCGCCCCGGTGAGAGCGCCGGCCTCGCCCGGGCGGCCCAACGGTCTGCGTCCCGGCCCAGAGGCTTCCGACCTGTTGGGCAGAAGGCGCCCGCTCGGTGGACGGACCGTGGACTTCTCCGCACTGGGGGGGGGGGCACGTCGCACGCGCAGGTGGCAAGCGGACAAAAAGCAGGCGCGGCCATGCAGAGATGCATCCAGGCAGCCTGGGAGTGCTCCACAACAGCCCGCTGCGATTACGTGCTTCGGGGGCCCGTCAGCGAGCTAGAGTCTGCCTCCAGTGTCCCTCTGCTTCCGTGCAGTACAGACCTTAAGTTCATGGCATTGTTTTCCCAGTTCGAAGGGTCGCCGTGGAACTCTGTCGTCACAGCCAAGGCTGCAGTGAGGGGATGGCACGTCCAGAGAAATCTCCTCAGCGAGAGGGAGCGGTCATGGACTGAGCGGGCGTCGCTGTTCTGGCGCGGACTGGAAAAGCGCTGTGATCACACGCTTTCGGCGGCAAACCGACCTCTGAGCGTTGCAGAATTGAGCCCATTTGTGACGGCCGCCCAGAACAGGGGTTCCCCAGCGGGCGTGCGCAACGCAGCGTCTGCAGCATTGTGTTTCTTTAGAATTCGCCGCTCCTCAGAAATGTGAGCGCTACTGTGCAGCGACGTTCGTTTCAAAGCACCAGGCGTGGAATTTCACGACCGCAAACAAAAGAACGACCCTTTCGGTCGAGGCATTCTCTGCTTCATCCCAGAGATGCCGCAGCTCGGCGTTGGCTGCCCTGTTCGCCTGCTTCGCGCTGGGCAGGCGCTCAGAGAGTCCACTTGGGGCGACGACCCAGCGGCGTGCTTCTTCCTGCGTCACTGGGGCGCTTCCTGTCAGAGCGATCGGCGATGATACCCTTCGCGCCGCGCCCTCGGCGCTGTGTGTCGCGACAGCACCGGGGGCTCCCACTCGTTCAGGAAAGGCGGGGCGCACTGGTGGAAGCCCCAGGGAGGCGTTCCTGAGGACGTCATCCAAGCGCAAGGCGGGCGGAGCACGCCTGCTACAATGCGCGCTTTCTACGCGCGTTTTTTTTAACGAAGACCGCTGCAAAATAATGCAGGCGTGTCCTTCCCTTGTGCCTAATCAGGGAGCGTGCCGTTGCTCCATTATCCCGCAGGTGGGTTCATTAAGCCTCAATGGGGCAAGGCGCGGTCCTTCCGGCCGCGCCACTGTGACCACCTACACGCGCCCGCGCGCACGCGCGCACACCGCCCCACCAACACGCGCGCGCGCACGCGCGCGCACCGCTCCAGAGGAGAGTCAAGCATCTTTTCTGCGCTGCTTGGCTAGGCCTGCGGCTATCGTCGGCCTTCACACCTGCGGCAGGATGTCGCCCGCCCCCTCCTTAGGAAAGGTTAACCGCATCGTGACACTGCAGGACGTGCACCAGAAAGGACCCACCGCTTCCTCCTCGGCCGGCGCCTCCTCTTTCGGCCGGCCCTCCTCGACCTCCTCTCTCCTCCGCTCCTCCTCCCTTGCCTCCCTCCTGCCAGAAGGGGCTCCGCAGCCGCCGTCGCTCGAAGAGGAGGAGGAGGAGGAGGAGGGAGGAGGGAGGAGGGAGGAGGGAGGAGGGAGGAGGGAGGAGGGAGGAGGGAGGAGGAGGGAGGAGGAGGAGGAGGAGGAGGAGGAGGGAGGAGGAGGAGGAGGAGGAGGAGGAGGAGGAGGAGGAGGGAGGAGGAGGAGGAGGATGAGGACTTCGGAGAAACCCTCTACTTCTCAGAAGGCGTTCGAAAACCGATCCCCATCCCCAGCGGTGTGGCCGCCGATTTACCCTGCAAGATGGGGATATAGGCCGTTCCCGTCGGGCTTCGAGGGGTGTATCCCCACCTGGGGTGGTTCTCTGGTGGGGGTCTCGAAGGGGATGAGGGTGGGGAGTCTCAGCTGCTGACTCTCAGCAGGCGGGCGGTCGGGATCCTCAGAGGCCCCCCGCGCCTTCCGAGAAGCCGCGCCTCCGTCTTCGGAGGCGGCTCGGGACGCTTCTCGGAGGGCCGGCGGCGCACGCCTGCCATGGCCCTTGCGGGGCGGTGCCCCCCCCGCGAGGGCTTTCCTCTGTGCGTGCCATCTCCCCTGCTCATCCTCCTGCTCCTCCTCCTCCTGCTCCTCCTCCTGCTCCTCCTCCTGCTCCTCCTCCTGCTCCTCCTCCTGCTCCTCCTCCTCCTGCTCCTCCTCCTCCTCCTCCTGCTCCTCCTCCTCCTCCTCCTCATCCTCCTCCTCCTCCTCTTCCTCCTACTCCTCCTTCTCCGGTACACGCTATCCCAACGATGAGAGGAAGAACAAAACAGACACATAAGCATATAAGTTCGACGCTCCGCGCGGATTTCTTGGATCTGCGCTGGGCCCCCCTCCCTGGCGCGAGGAGCGCGCCAGGGGCGGCGCCAGAGGCGCCGCCAGGGGGCCCCAGCGCGGATCCAGGAAATCCGCGCGGGGCGCCAAAAGTTTATGTTTATGGCGTTTTCTCTTCCTCGGACGATGGGGGATACAGTCGGACCGAGGCCAGAAGGACATCCCCCAAGAACATGAGACCCTCCGTCAGCCAAGACAAGCAACACATCCAAGGGTGCCCTCCCCAGGATGCACAGGAGTATCCTACAAGCACGAAGAACACTGGGGCACCCTCCCCGAACCGACCTTTGTCTTATGCCTCGGTCAGCGGCTGCAATGTGTAAGAAGCGGGCCAGCGGCGCCGCATCGCATGCTATATATCTTCACAACACCAGCCGTGAACAAAAAAACGGCTCAAAGCGCGCGCCTCGCGCACTCTCCCCAACGTGCCAGCTGGCGACGCGTGCACTGGGGTACGCCCTTTTTTGAGCAGGGACCCGCGGTCCCGGCAATCCTATAGGCCTACCACGAAATATGCTTAGAACCAAGAAAAGTTAGAATAACAAAAGCAGTGTTCTCAGAACATACGCCCGATGCGTTAAAACAGGATAGCCTCGGCCAGAAATGTTCTGAGAACATGTCGTGCACAGACCACAAGAGGTTTTGAGAACATTCTTTGGTGGGCCTATAGGTGAGCCAGGACGCTTCGCCACTGCTTGACCTCCTCCTCCTCCTCCTCCTCCTTCTCCTCCCGCCCCCTCCTCCTCCTCCTCCTCCTCCTCCGCCTCCTCCTCCACCTCCTCCCTCCTTCCTCCTCCTCCTCCTCTCCCTCCTCCCCTCCTCCTTCCTCCTCCTCCTGCCTCCTCCCTCCTCCCTCCTCCCTCCTCCCTCCTCCCTCCTCCTCCTCCTCCTCCTCCTCATCCTCCTCGTCTCCTCCTCCTCCTCCTCCTCCTCCTCCTCCTCTTGCTCCTCCTCCTCCTGTAGCCACGCAGCGGCGTGCAAGTGCCCCCCACGCCTTCCAGGCGGCTGGGGGGCCTCCTTGAAGGGCCACCCCTCCTGACCCCGCCCGCCCAGCGCTCGTGGCAGCTCAAGTGCTCAACCTGCGTTGTGTTGCCAAATGTTGCAAAGCCCCGCCCGCTTTATGTCTAATTCGAGGGCTGCTTCGAACGAGGCTCACCCACATTTCGCAAGTAGGGCGGACATTCCGCCCCTTTTTTCAAGCTCCTTTGATGTCGACTTCCGCCCCACGTTGCCGTCGCTGTTTCCACATGTCTCCGCTACACTTCTTCTGAGGCGGAGATGTCCTCCCTGCTTGTTCGCATCGTTTGGGACGTATTTCCGACACACTTTTTCTCACGGTTGATGAAATAAGCCGTCTCCCCGAATCTTACAGAGCCTTCACCAAGCGACTACGCAAAACCACCTCATTATGCTAAATGGCAACGACAGGCTGGCGATGGAGCCTGTGGGGATATCTTCTGCTGGCATTCCCCTCCATGGAATCCAAAACAAACGCACTGTGTGGCCGGAATATTAACCAGAGTGCGGCGGATCCGGCTTCAGGGCCCTCTTTCGTGCTGCCAGGCCGAAGATGGCCTTCGCCGGTGCGACGGTCCCACTCCCAAACGACGCCGGTCTGCGACCGCATGACATCAACGGCTGAGCTCTCGAACCTCGTCTGGTCCATGTACGTGCACCTGAGCGGCGAGGATCTTACGCAAGGTGGGATAGGCTATTCTACCTTGCGGGTTGCGTAAGACCCTTACGCAAGGTAGAACAGGCTACTCTACCTTGCGTGAGATCCTTGCGCAAGGTTGCTATTATGAATAGCAAGCTTACGCGGTGGCTTACGCGGGCCGCCAATGCGGCACGCCACATTGGAAGCGAGGACGCCTAGACGCGGCCTTGCGCGGGCAGCTCGCGCGCGAATGTTGGCGCAAAGAAGATCGTTTCCTTCCGTCGCCCACCTCGCTCCGGGGACCACGGAGCCCACCTCGGGGCGGACGTCGCCGAGGAACTCGTCCTCGGGGACGAAGCCGAAGATGCCCGTGACGGCATCCTGCACAATGGCGCCCTTGTCGGTATACTCGCGCACGAGCAGAGAGAAATCGCCCTGGTACAGATACTGCTGCTCGGCCGTCCTTGGGGAAACGAAAAGGCACCGATACCGCTGCTCCCCGCACGTCTCGTGGGGTGCGTTCTGACCAGGATCTCGAGGCGACTCCGGCGGTGGCGACGAGGGCCTCCCAGGAGGCCGAAACAGGGTAGAACGGGCGAAGGGTAGCGGTATGGGTACCTTTTTCTCCTCTGAAACCTGTACTGCAGCTCGAAGTCTGGCACAATGCGGTCGTAGTGGTCGTCGTACTTGTGAAGGTACCGTACGACCGGCCGCTCGACGGGCTCCGTGAGGAGATCGACGTCCAGCCCCCTGTCCAGCCACCTTTGGGAGGTTGCTAAAGGTGCCCCGGGCCCAAGGTGCCCCCCCGCCTTTCGCTCTACTCCGGAGCCCCTGTGGCCCTATGGAGGCCGTGGGGGCCTCTATAGAAATCCTGGGGACACCCTGGCCCAGGGGCACCTGTAGCAGCACCCGAACCCTTCTTTGGCACACGGGAAAAAATTCTGGTGGAAACGGGCCCTCGCCTCAGGTCGGGCATGGAGGAAATAAAGGGTACCCCAAACACGTGCTCCCCCAGCTTTGCCCCGACTACCTACCTGACCACCCCAGCCCATCCCGAAGACCCGAATTTCGGGTGGGGGGTAGGGGGGGTATGGGCTTCACATGTACTTTGTCCACGTTCCCCGACCCCCCCCCTCTGGAGATGGAGGGCAAATCGGGGCCTTCGGGTTGGGTTGGTGCGGCTTGCTGGGCAGTGACAAACGGGCCCTGGCTGCCAGGGACTCCCCTGGGACTGGCTTGTCATCCCGAGTCGTGCCCCCCCCCAGACTTATCCTGGTTCCCTCGTACTTGAGGCCCCACATCCCTTGGGAGTCCCGAAACAGTGCAATGACAGACAGAGCGGTGACCTCGAAATCCCCCAAGACCTCACCGCACGGTCCGTCAACGCACGGCTCTTGGCCCTCGGATGCCCCAGTCGCCCGAGACGTCCTCGGAAAATGACCCGAGTCCCCAAACCGTGCGGGGCGACCCCGCGATCCCCCACCTTCCCCGCCACACGGCGTGGCCCCCCATTCCCCGGGGCCCCCGCACCCCCCCATGAGCAGCTCTGCAGCACCCGGGGGCATGCCGAGGCCACGCCTTGCCCGACACGCCGGCGGGGCCCGACGCGCGAGGCCCTCCCCGGGGGGGGGGGGGGCCGCCCTTTCCGGAGGGCCCTCGAGAGGCCCAGGCGCTCTCGGAAGCCGCTTGGTGCCGGAGGTGCGGGCGAGTGCGGGCGAGCGAGCCCACGCTGGGGGCGTGCGCGCTCCGCGAGGGAGCCCACCCGTGCCAGGTTAGGGGCATGGCGTCAGGTCGGGCATGTCCGCCTGCAGGCGGATTTTGGAAGGAAGAAAAACCCGTCAAACCATGTTCAAACAGAGTCAGAAATGGTAGAGCAATCGTCGCCAGAGTATCTTTACCTACGCTGAAGTATTCCTCCTGTGAGGGACATGCCCGACTTAAGCACGGCGTGGAGGCCGTGGCCTCCTGTGAACGCCACCACTCACTGCTCCCTGCCGCCACCATTCACCCACTGCTCACTCACTCAGTCACTGTTCCCTGCTCGCTCACTACTCACTCACCACCAAGATCATGTGAAAGCCACCACTCACTGCTCCCTGCCGCCGATATCACAGGCCGTTTGTGCTGTCTGCTCGTGCCGATCCAGGACGCTCGTGCTGGCAGTCGGGGCCAAAGCAGGCTGGAACACCACAGCCCCCAGGCCAGCTACTCATGCCGCACCCGACTTGTCGGGCATGTCCTCCTGCAGGCGGACTTTGGACGATTTTTTTCACATGCTCAACAATGATAAAACAATAACAAATAATCACAAAGTCGTCCCCTGACTATGTTTGGACTGTTTTTTAAAAAATATATTCCTCCTGTAGAGGGACATGCCCGGCAAAAGGCTTGCGGCCCCGGGGCCCCGGGCCCTCCCTGAGAGAGGCCGCGAACGGCGGCACACTCCGGGCCCCGCGGCCTCCACCGGGGCCCGGGAGGCGAGGTGCGGGCGGACAAATCAAGAACAGTCCAAACAATACGCACAGGTAGTCAACAAATGGTCCACACGTCGTCCCCTGACTATGTCTTGACTACTTTTGGGCACTCCTCTTGTAGAGGGACACGCCCGGCGTAACACCAGCGAACTGCCAGCGCACATGGCGGCAGAGCAGGGGAAGGATGAGCGGCACCGACACAAACTTTTGGAGGTCCGCGTGGGTCTCTTGGATCTGCGCTAAACCCCCCCTGCACGGTTTCCCCCGGGGCCGTAGGCGACCCGAGGAGGAGGAGGAGGAGGAGGCGGAGGAGGAGGACCCCGAATCCCCGCCGACTCACCACACGGTGTGGCCCCCACCCCCGTGTGGGGGCCCCCGAAAACTCTTTGACAGACAACGAATGGTGCCGCTGGGCTCAGGAGACGACTCCGGCCAGGATGCCGTGGGCCCCCGGCGGGCAGAGACACCGCGCGGCTGGGGCATGGCACCCCGTCCTATAGCCACTCCGATCCGGGGGCAAAGCTGCCCTCCCTCGGGATCTGGTGGTGCGGGAAAAGACTGCAGCATCGAGGCAAAGGCGACCGCTGGTTTCGCCTACGGCTGGTTTCGCCCGGCTGGTTTCGCCGCCCGGCGAAACCAGCTCCGTCGGCGAAACCAGCTGCCGTCGGCGAAACTGCCCGACCCGTCCCGCCCGCTGGGGTCCGCCCGACCCGACCCGCCCGTTAGAGTCCGCCCGCCCGACCCGACCCGTCCCGCCGGCTAGGGTCCGCCCGCCCGATCCGACCCGCCCGCTAGGGTCCGCCCGCCCGACCCGACCCGACCGTTAGGGCTCGCGCGTGCTTGGTCGAGCGCGCCCCACACTTTAATGTCCAGCCCGCCCGACCCGACCCGCCCGTTAGGGTCCGGCCGCCCGACCCGACCCGTCTCGCCGGCTAGGGTCCGCCCGCCCGGCCCGTCCCGCCCGTTAATGCGCGTGCTCGGTCGAGTGTGCCCCACAATTTCATGTTCCGCCCGCCCGACCCGACCCGCCCGCTAGGGTCCGCCCGCCCGACCGGACCCGTCCCGCCCGTTAGGGCTCGCGTCGGCGAAACCAGCGCCAGCGAAACCAGCGCCGGCGAAACCAGTCGCCGGCGAAACCAGCGGGGCGAAACCAACGCCAGCGAAACCAGCGCCAGCGAAACTAGCGCCGGCGAAACCAGCCCATGCCGCGGAAAACCGCGACCAGAGCCCTAGACGTTGGAGTACCATGTGTGGCGGCGCGCACGAGAGGGTAGGGGGGAAGGCTTCTTAGACGGAGGCTGCTTCTTGTAAGGCGCGGGCCTTACATCTACAGAGAGGGCCCGCGCCTTCTAAGAAGCAGGGGTGCTTCTAAGAAGCCTTCCCCCCTCCCCCTAACCCTCGATTGATCTACCCCTGTCTCCGACCTTGCATCGCGCCGAACGCAACGGCCACTTTGTCCATAGACGTGTCCACCCTGAAAGTGGCATTGGACGTCACAGCTCCCAGCGTGCCCAGAGACGCTTTTGGCTCAATAGGACGTGAGAACGGTGCTGGGCATCATCAGCCCCAGAGGTTGGCCTTCTAGAAGCAAGGTCAGGCTTGGCCCTCCAACCTAGGCCCCAGACCGCACCTCTCTGCGGCGTGTTGCGAGCTGGATCGTTCCGTGACGTGATTCAGGAGCCAAGCGAAGGCTGGCAAACCCGTGGCTAATAAAACGGAGCTCCGGGAAATTGCTTTTTCTCTTCCGGGAAGCAGCCCGTTTACTATTTATAGTGCGCTGAGTTTTCTTCCGGGAGTTTGGTTTTTCTCTTCCGGGAAGACCGCTCTTGCAGCCACGGGCTTGCCGGCACTCGCCCAGCTTCCGAGTGATGGCCCAGGAGGGCCCGAGAGGCCGGGCGCAGAGGCGCCCACATGCACAGCAGACCTGCGACGCCAGAGCGGCGTTCTTCTCGGAGCAGGGCGAACGCGAGACGAGGGCAGCTCAGAATCGGAACGTTGGGTCCGTGCCGTGCCGACTTCGGCGTCGGTTTCTGACACCGCGGGGATCGTTCGACCTTGAGCGATCGGCCGTTTACGGAACGTCCAAATCGTTCGACGTCGAACGATTCTGGGTCGCCCGCGGCGTTCAAAATTGAACGCCGTTGGCGGGGTCGCCGCCGGTCGGCACGACACGAACCTACGTACCCGGGACGTACCCCAGGACCCCTCCCAGAGGAGGAGGAGGAGGAGGAGGAGGAGGTGGAGGAGGTGGAGGAGGTGGAGGAGGAAAAATCACGTCGTCGGGGTTCCAGGCGCACCAGATCTCCGAGCGGCGTCTCGCCGTGGCGACGAGAGGCCCCCCCCGAAGGCCCGAAGGCCAACCACCGCCGACTCCGCCCCAGACATCTGGGGCGCTCCAGGGCTTGCGAGGCGTGGGCCCCCCTGGAGGTCTGGACGACTTCCCCATTGTGTGGCGCCGGTTTTTCGTGCGGAGCCGTCTGCTCTGGGTCCCATTGGCCCGTTGGGAGGGCCCCGTAGTATTAGGTCGGGCATATCCCCCTACAGGGG